TGGCCTCCAGATCCTAGGCTTGATGATGCTGAGGCTACACCCGTCCTCACAAACTATCTCACCCTAATCTGTCCTCTCTGGAGTTGCTTACCCCGCTGTAGCAAGTTGCTCAGACTCCCTCCCTAGACAACGTTTTTCCCACACCTCCCTGCCTGCCCCGGCCCAATGCCAGCGCCAGCGCTGGATGAGCCCCGCACTGATCCAGCTCAGCTCACCAGCCTCGCAGAGAAACCGCTGCTTCCCTGCAGCAGCGGCTGGGTGGGCCCAGCCGCACGTGGGACCATACCCTTCTCTGCCTGCTGACTGACCAGGGCATGGAAACAGGGCACATAGCCCAGACACCTCCCTTTTCAGTCAGGTAAAACTGGAGGGGGTGAATGCTCCCAGTGGGAATAGACCTGTGGTGGTGTGAGCCAGCCTGGTGGGAGGTGAGCAGGCAGTGGTGTTGGCAAAGCCCGTATCACACAGCTTCACCTGCAAGCCCTTCCAGAGGATGAGGATGCCCCTTCTCGGGCAGTGGAGAAAGGTGCTCGGAGCTGCTTGTTTCTGCCTGCTGGCTGTAAAGGGACCTTGGACAATTAGCTTACATGAGATACATAACTTCGAGACTGCTGAAGCAAACTGAAATCCTTCGCTCCCTTAGACTCCACATTTAAAGATGTCCACAAGGAGCTCCACAAGGTTTCAAAGAGACTCCTCCAGCAATGGATCTAAGCCTTTCTTCAAAAGCTTCCTTGAAGCAGATGCTTATCAGCTTCCTCCACCCCACCATCTCTGCTGGCTGCCTATCTGTGAAGAAGGCTTTGAGTTGCTGACTTGGAGCATCTGTATTGTCACGCACAGACTGGGTTAGCCAGACCTGCAAACAGTTCTTTGGATGGGCAAATGGCTTGTCTTAGATAGATCTTTTAACTTAGCTGAAAGGATTATTAATGCGATTTCTGTTTAGGAATAGATACTGTTACAGAAACAGCAAAACCAAAAAAACTGGATTCACTAGTGCTACAGTCCACTAAAATCTGAAGGATGAAACTGGGCATTTTTTCCTTTCTGAAGTCAAGGAATAAAATCTGTCAGTGAATTAGTTAGTGACACTGATCCTAGTAAAATACTTGTGGACTTCCTCAAAGTACTTTTTTTGTTTCTTGTTGCAGTGAGTTTGTGTCCATTCTTTATTGAATTGCTAAAAAAGACTTGCAACCTGTCCGACACACTGTAAGGCAAATGGAGCTAAATTAAGTTATTGCTGCAAAACCAGAAAGCCATATAACAGGACATTGCTTCAAATTCTGCTCCCGCTTACGCTCATGCAACTCCACTGGAGTATGTGGAGTTGCATGAGAGTTGAAAAAAAAAGGCAATAACATTGTGCTGGTTTTGGCTGGGATAGAGTTAATTTTCTTCATAGTAGCTAGGATGGGGCTATGATTTGGATTTGTGCTGGAAACAGTGTTGATAACACAGGGATGTTTTCGTTCCTGCTGTACCAGCGAGCAGGCTGGGGGTGCACAAGAAGTTGGGAGGGGACACAGCCAGGACAGCTGACCCCAACTGACCAAAGGGATATTCCACACCATGTGACGTCATGCTCACCTCATAAAGCTGGGGGAAGAATGGGGAAGGGGGGGACATTTGGAGTGATGGCGTTTGTCTTCCCAAGTCACCATTAGGCGTGATGGAGCCCTGCTTTCCTGGAGATGGCTGAACACCTGCCTGCCGATGGGAAGGAGTGAATGAATTCCTTGTTTTGCTTTGCTTGTGTGCGTGGCTTTTGCTTTCCCTGTTAAACTGTCTTTATCTCAACACACGAGTTTTCTCATTTTTACCGTTCTGATTCTCTCCTCCATCCCACCAGGGGGGAGTGAGAGAGCGGCTGCGTGGGGCTTACTTGCCGGCTGGGGTTAAACCATGACAAACATGCAGTTTAATTTCAATGCATAAGAAGTGCAGTAAAAGACATTTTGCTAAAACAACTGAGAATTTTTACTGACGTCTTTCTCCCACCAAAGATGATTTATCCCTTTTTTGGCACACCCTACTGAGAATGTTTGCTAAGCAGAGTCCCCATTTGATCATGCAAGGACTGCTCACAGCTGCTGTTGCTGTATCTCCAGAAGGGGAGAAGGGGATACTGACCTTCCCTGGGTGTCCTCATTTTCAGGCTGCCTCACACTGCCAGAGGGTCCAACCCGGTCTCGGGGTGGGAGTGCATAAGTGGTCTCCTCACTTGAACTGAGGAGGACGGAGATGAACAGTGCTTTCAGTGAGGCTTTTCTACATTTCCAGCATTTGCTGCTAAGGTTGCGCTGGATTATCACAGGACAAACTCCCCCGGTGGAGCTTTGGCTCCCACCAGAAGAAACACCTTTTGCAGAGGTTGAACTTGGTCTAAACAGAGTAAGGGAAGGTGCAGCCTTTCCTCAGCTGGGGACATCTGTGCGGGCATGCGGACACAACCGGGAAAGTCTCTGCGTGCCCAGTAGTGTGCACGGGGACTGTGAGATGAGTTGGTTGTTGACCTTCCTTTGATGCTCTAACTTGCTCCCTGTCACCTCTTCTCCAGTCACAAGGTTACAGAAGACAGAGTGGGACCAGATGAACACGAGCTGGGGGACCAGATGAAGACAAGCAAGGGGAGGTCTGCACGAAACCAATCCTTTGTCTGAATGCACGGTGTGGGTCATGGGGTGGCCTGCCCCGAGCTCGGGCACCTGGCTGGCCCCGGCGGTGGGCAGACCCTCCGTGTTGAACTTGGGCAGATGCAGCTATGGGGTGGAGTTGGTCGGTGCGACATCCTCACACCACAGCTGGTGTGGCCCTGGGGCATCAGCCTGGCCATGTCAGCACGGCTGAGTCGAGGAGGGTGGGACGAGCCACGCCTCATGTCCCCCTCCACCAAAGCGGTGACGCTAACAAGCAAGCGTAGCAATGTGGCACAGAGCAAAACGAGTTATGGCTCTGATCCCACCATCTGACCCCGACGGGTGGACTCCCACACGGTGATCTCATTCTGTTGACTTACTCACAGCTTCACAAGTAGCAGAGAAAGGTCACGCTCAGTTAAAACTGAAATGTGTTTTCTTACAGTTTTTCCCCCTTGGGCCAGATGCTATAGCCCTGACTTGGGCAAAGGTCCAACTGGAAATAATGAATGTAATTACCTTGTAAGCACCTTAGTGGAAAATATTGGTATAGTTAATTATACAGGGATGCAACGCTAACTCATTTCCCAGTATTTAAAATACAAATATTAACACTTTCTCCTTTGGGGTTTTAAGAAGATTAGTTATTGCTGCAGTCTAACAGAATTTATAAGTTTCGCAGCTCTTGCAATCAGTTTAAGGAAAAAGTTTCCAATGCTGATTTTAATATCCCTGGCTGATATTGAGCAGAACAGTGCTACACTGTGCAGAACCAGGCCTTTGAGTGCCTTTGCAAGAATGAGGTCTTTGGCCATGGCCCTTTAAACATCCAAAACTTAGCTTTTTTTCAAAGGACATTTTAGGACCAAAAAGTGATTTTAGGATTCTCAAAATGAGGATAAGAGACTCACCCTTTGAATATTAGGAGAACTGAAATCCTTGGAGACGGATACCCAAAACCTGGGACTTAGGTACCTTTTAAGAAATCCTAGCTAAATTGTCTAAGTGAAAATGCCGCTATCTTTCATTAAGGATCATAGGAAGCAGCGCAATAAACTCACGGCATGGACTTGAGCGTGTACTCCAGCATTTGAAGTCTTCAGAATGCAAACCCAAGTATTTCCACGCTATTTCTGATTGACTTTCCAGCTGTTGAACAAGGAGCCCACTATTTCTATGTTAGTCTGTCGAAAAAGCCCCATTGCTTTCAGTCCGCAGCTGGCAGAGCCCCCTGTGAATGAACGGGCAAAAGCCACTAAACGTGTTTTGCTTGCCTTGGTACTTGTTAACATCTCTGAACAATCCAGTGCACCCTAGCAGATATTCATAGGCTAGAAAAACAAAAGGCTCGACTCCTTTCTCACACCTCTGCAAAAGGAGTCAAGAGGATTTACAAAAATATAAAACTGTACTGAGATTTCCCTTATAGGTACCTAAGGGAGTTTTTCAGGAAAAAAAAAGGGAAAAAAAGGGAGACACTGTGGGCATAGACCTTATTGTTCAGCGAAAACCATGCCACGTATTTCGCACCAGGCCGCCTCTTCTGCCAGGAGCCGCGGCTGCAGGCAGCACCCGCAGGGCCTCGTGCTCCTGCCTGCACCTGCCCGGGCACCCAAGCTACGGCAGGGAGCACGCCTTGGAGCACGGAGACAGCGAGGGAAGAGGCAGGCATGATGCCCCGCTGGGGATCCCTGGCGTGGAATGGCCTAGACCTTTTACATTGCTATGGGAATTAACGAGGCCAGCAATTAGGAAATCTAGCAAGGCAGCTTAAGAGACTTCTGCAGCGCAAACATAGCCTCCTGATTCAACAGCAAGCCAAGCCTGTCCACGTGTCCTGCTGCAGTGAACAGGGGTATACGCTCCAAGCAAAGGGGAGGTCACTAACAAAAACTGCTTTTATCTAAATATTTTGTTGGAAAAATAAGCCCTGTTGCCTCTGCTACTTTTCAGTTCTCTGTTTTGTTGCTACACAAGCCCAAACCTCACCCCAGCCACCGACAGGCAGCAAGGGCCGCGGGTAAAGGAGCACCAGGAGCCTGAGCCCAAGCTCACCATGCACAAGGCACGGAGGCTTCTTGTGCTTAGCAGCAACAAGGATGGATTAGTCACCACCTTGAATTTTGAGTACACTTCCACATGCCATCTGTACAGAAAAATTAAGGAAGCAGCTCCCCCAATGGAAAATATAACCACTACTCCTCTGAAAGCTGCCCGACAGGTTATTCGGCCAGTGGAGAAAATACAAATAGGGCTGCACGCAGGCAGTGGGCAAACTCCGGTCGAGTTCAACACCATCCAGGTGTATTGTTGCAAGCCGAGGACAGCCTCTGTAAATCACAACACTGCTCTCACAAGTGTCAGCATAGAATCTTTTAATATTTTACATAAAAAACTGCATACACAGTTCATAGTTTTATGTAAACATCATATACATCTCAGTTTTTGCCATGTCAGTTTATTAAAAACAAAAACAGAAACAGTCTCAGTACCACTGTTGAGGGAAGAGGGAGAAAAGTAAACAAACTTCAATGGATACATTTGTTCTCTGAACCAGAGAAACACAAGATTATTTTCACCTGGGTTGGCTACCCTGTGAAAATAAAGTTTTAAATAAACCTAGATTCTTTAAACTGCCCTTTAGTATTAATGTCTGATGTACTCACTGCATAAGGAACAGTGCTTTCACCCATTTTTTTCCAAGGCAAAAAGATACAGTGGTTTTATTTCATCTTGCACTGAAATCACAATTTAAAACAAGACCCAGATGAGGTTACTGAGTAAGAGTATTTCCAATGCTACAGTGTTGTATGCAGATGACAAGTGCATTGAGTATTTAATTTAAAAAACAAAAATCCACCAAGTTGTGCAAAGTAATTTCTTTTGAAGATAAACTTTTAAATAAACCCAAATCGACATACTTGCAGAAGAGAACATTAAAGGAAGGAGCAGGCACCAAGATCATAATATGGCAATATCATCCCCCTCCCCCCTGCTCATCCTGCCTCATCCATCAGGAGGAGGATGACCAGCAAGGAGGACAGAGCAGTTCAGCTTTACTGCCTAGCCTGGTGGCTTCTGCAGCTGGAATCAGTTCAAGGCTCACATTATCAGCAGGCATCAGTCACTCAGGGCAAGTTCCTTTGCACAACACAAGTCCCAGCTGGGCACCCCCTCCCCACCTCACTTTAAATAAGCACCCCCTGCACTACCCCAGTTTGCACAAGACAGAAAAGGTAAGATATATACAGGCTTCGCTTGGGATGACCCTCCCCTCCCAGTCTCAGTCTCCAGGGCACTAGCTTCCACAGCAGGTCAGGCCCAGGCTGAAACAACTGTGGGAGAGGCGAGAATGCTGCAGGCAGCCCCGGAGATGCAGCCCCTTCCCCAGCCTGCCTGGGGGGGAGGCACATGCAGGCAGGAGGCAGAAGTCCCTTCGAGCATCTCACCTCCACCGCTCTCCTCTTGCAAAAGAGAGGAGGCTGTCTGGGAGCCGGGAGCAGCAGGCGGTGGGCAAAGGGGAAGAGCCGGGTGCGACATTTGCTCAGTCCAGTCTCAGCAGCTTTTTGTTGTGAGAGTCTGCGATTAACTCGCAGGGGCCGGTGGTGGGAGAAGCCTTCTCCCCACTTTATTCCCAAGACTCAGGGCATGCAATCCCCCCCCTCCCTCTGTCCCCACGGCTGAGCCAGCACAACCCTTTTCGGCCAAGGCTAAGGGAGCATGCTCTCTCCCTTAGCCCCCACCCCGATTCATCGCCAGCCCCCAGCGGAGGGGACAAGCAGATGCCATGTGTGTGCATAACCCAGCTCCTCTCCACCTGCCAACAGGTGACCCAGGCGCTGTGCCCAGCGCCACTCTCCAGCCGCGCCCTATAGGACTTTGCAGCAGTTGATGCAGCCATTCTGGGTGCCATAGCGCTTCTGCAAGGCTGCCCGGGTAGCGGTCTCGAAGACCTCCCGGACACCCTCCTTGGTCTTGGCCGAGCACTCCAGGTAGTCGTAGGCCTGGATGCGAATGGCCATGGCGCGGCCATCCTCGGTGCGCACCGGCTCCTGCTTCATGCGGGCCAGCTCGTTGCGCACATGCTCATCATTGCGCAGGTCTTTCTTGTTGGCCACCAGGATGATGGGGACGTTGGGGCAGAAGTGCTTGACTTCAGGCACCCACTTCTCCGGGATGTTCTCCAGCGAGTCCGGGCTGTCCACAGAGAAGCACATGAGGATCACATCGGTGTCCGGGTAGGC